TAAATTTTGTTAATATACATTGACATTATAACTGTGGTGCATATGGACAGTTCGCATGTGCCTCAATTTATCACATGTAGGTTAGAAATCATTTTTAATTACGCATTTTCAATTTTGTGAATAGTGAGGGTGGCATGATTCCTTAATTCCACACAAGCTAACTTGCTTTTGGAGATCAGATTTGATTTGTAGGGGCTTATCCCACACTCACTATTCCCAATACCAGGTTTTTTGTCACTTTGTCTGTTTCTTGTAATTTTTAATTCGTTCAAACAATTGTATATATACTATTTTTAACTTTTGACTTAAAAGTCTAATTCAGATTTTATAAATTTTTTTTTTTTTTTAAATCTTTTTAAATTGTAAGTTTACATCCACAATTTTTGTAGATGAGCACTGATGATGGCAAATAAGCCGAAAGCGCTTTGCATTGATTAATAAAAAAGTTTTGCACGAAAAGTTTTTCCTTTTTGAATCTAAACTACGTGCACACAGCTGTCAACCTTTTTTGGTTTTTTTAACAATTAGATTAGTTATTATAATCTCTCTACTATAAACACAGTTTTAGTGTTATATTTAAAGGTAGTTTACCATTAATTATTTTTCTACTACCGTGTGTAAAGTTGTTTTTTTTTCACTAGTGCGTAAAGTAAAAAAAGTTATTTTAGGGAAAAGGTATCTTTTATAATTCTAATATTAATAGATAATGTGTACGGTAGTAGAAAAAATATTATATACTACTCGTATGTAAAGTCTATTTTTTGAGTCATGTGATATTTGTCAAAAAAGAGTAACTTTACACACTTGTTGCATAAATAACTATTTTATCGAGAAAATTCATTATATTATTATATTATAAATTTGTAATATTGCTTTGAATTTTCAATTTTTTGAATTGTTACCTAAATTAAATTTCTCATATTATATCGATATATCTTACTTAAGTCGGCACCATATGGAACACATTTTTTAATAGTTTTATGAAAAAAGTTAACTGTCGTAAAAAGTTTTGCATGGTCTAAAAACTAAAATTAAATCACCAGGTATCAAATTTTTTCAGTCTTGTACGAGGTTTGTCGTACCTTTATTTTTAATAATATCGAAAATTGTTATTAAAATAATTTAATGTATAAGGTAAATACATTAAAAATGCACCACTTACAAAACTTTTGCATCCCATCCCTTCGGTAGTTTCAATTTCTTTACCGTGATGTTATCCCAACCAATGATTTTAAAACAAAAAGAATATTGCACCTATATGAATACATTATTTACTCACTTTTAGCTCTAAATTCATTTTGGCTAATTCGCACGAGGATGCACATTTTAATACTCTAATATTTCATAGTACATATCTGAATTTCAAACCAAATATAAACTTACTACAACATACTTGGTAACAGTAGTGTAGTTACTCTGTTGACGTCACACATGTGTGGTAATGTTATATGTGTATTTTCATATATGTCAAATTTAATTTAAGATGGGTATATCTAAACCAAATTAGAATTATAAGAAATTTTAGGATCTTCTGATTTTGTTATTTACTTAAAATGATGTCTCCTCCAACAAAAGAAGAAAGGTTATATTTTGTGTTATATTTGTGTTAAAATATATTTCCATCTTTATTCTATATGTTTTAGTATCTCTAGTTATTCCAGTATTCTGTATTTAAAATTTAATTTCTCTCTTAGTTAATATACAAAATATTCAAACAGACCCTAATCACAGAAAAACTTATCTCTTCAAATTTCTTTTCACTTTGCGGATGCTCGATATGTTTAAACGAGTACCTTACCACATATCCGACATGGTTAGAAGAAGTAGTTATATGCTTTGATAATATGTGGCGTCATGGAAAAAACCAAACTGTATAAATAAATGTTTTGGTCACTATAGGATCTAGTTATGATGGTAAGCTTATAAAGAAATGCCTTAAGTTTGCTATTACGATAATCATAGGTGTAGGTACGTTTAATTTAAAAAATAGAGGACGAAAACGAGACAAAATTCATCATAACTCAGATGATAATACAAAAATTATTTTAAAATAATGCGCCTAGACTATTACCACTAATAAAAATCTGCTCATTTTGGCCGACATGTTTATTTGTTGTAAAAATGTATATTTGAATTGATATTGAGAGATGTAACCTGAAATAATGAGTACATTAAAATATACATAATTAGGACGAAGTGGCCAAAGTTTATTTACCGCGAAAATGACTAACTGATATGTATCCATATCGGATGCAATAATTTTTTTTGCGCAAATAATATTAGAATGGTTTAACTTCACAATAAAGAAATTGTTGTGACTACCAAAGGGAGAGAAGAAAAAAGTTTTAATGATGGTGCATTTTAGGGTAGTAAGAGTGCATACCGGTGCAATATTTTTTTGGAAAAATATTGCGTGGGGCTAACTTCTCGGTAAAGAAATAGCTATAATAACTAAAGGGAGGGGGTCCAAAAAGTTTAATTGGTGTTGCATATAAGTGCATGACAAGTACTATCTGGTGCATAACAGTGCAATATATTTTTTGTTAAATCATTGGGGGGGGGGGCAACTTCACGGTAAAGAAACAGCTGTAACTACCAAATGTACAATGTACTACAATGTAACTTGCAGCACAAAAGAATGACTACGGCAACATTATGCCGCAGCCTTGATGAGCTGCAAGATCCAATAGCATTCATTCAAGAACCCTGGATAATAAAAACCAAAATTTTAGATCTTAAAAATGTAAATGGTTCAATTTTTAGCTTTCCCAGCAGCCAGCAACCTAGGACATCCATTTACATTCCTAGGAAATACAAAGCCCACTCAATGGCATACCTTTCCACCTCCGATTTAACTGCGGTTATGATGAAATACGCCATCAAAATGAAAAAGAAAACGTTAATCCTGGAATATGCATACCTCTCTTCCAATGCAATTACGCCACCACCCAGCAAAGAAATGGAGAATCTGATTGCATACTGCCTGGAACAGAAGTATGAGCTAGTAATAGGTTGCGACTCAAACGCTCATCACTTCAGTTGGGGCAGTAAGGATAACAACGCTAGAGGTAAGTCACTTTATGATTATATAATTACCAAAAATCTTTGTATTTTAAATAAAGGTACTAGACCAATATTTATAAACTCTCGCAGTCAAACACTAAGAGATATAACTTTATCCACAACTGGTATCTATAAATCAATTCTAAACTGGCAAGTGTCTGATAACATTTCGATGTCAGACCACCGCTGGTTAACAATCAAAATAATCTTGATGTTGCCGACCTCCACGCTATCTCGGAACCTTAGGAAGACGAACAGGGTCCCAAGAGGCTCTGAGAGAGATGGAGGTCAAAACATCAAACAATAACAATGCTTTGAAGAAATACTCAAACACTATCCAAAGCACAATAAACAAAGCCTACAAGAAATCCTGTACCCTGAGGCTGGTTCAACACGAAAAGACGACTACCGCATGGTGGTGTCACGAGTTGGATCACCTCAAGAAGATGGCTTGGAAATCCTTTAATAAGGCAAGAACCACAAAACTCAAAGAGGATTGGGATATTTACAAATCTCACCTCAGAGAATAGAAAAAAATCGTCAGACAAAAACAGAGGGATGCATGGAAATCCTACTGCAAAGAAATCAAAGATTTCCCACAGGCAGCGAGGCTTCAAAAAGCTCTCTTATAAGATCCACCCAAGCATTGGGACGCTAATTAAAGAGGATAGCACGAAAACTGCCAACCTCGGAGACAGCATCAAACTTCTACTGTCAACACACTTCCCTGGCTCGGTCATCACAGATGTGGCAGACTAGGCAGAGGAAGAATACAATCCATCTGTCTATGATTGGCAAACTGCCAAACACATTGTAGACGATAAAAAAATTGGATGGGCAATATCCAGGTTCTCTCCATTTAAATCGCCAGGACCTGACGGTATCTATCCAGCCCTACTTCAGTGGGGTCTGGAAGAACTCACACCGCACCTGGTGGTTATTATTCAGATCCTCATTGACTCTGAGGTATATCTTCAAAAAATGGAGAGAAGTAAAAGTGACAACACTGCAGCAAACAAGTACTTGACTACGACTAGACAGAAACTGCACTTAGTCACAGGCATTTTGACTGGTCATTGCCAAGTACGGAAATATCTTCATATCATGGGGCTGTCAGCATTTGCACTCTGCAGAGGGTGCAAACATGAAGATGAGACCATCGAGCATATCCTTTACGATTGCTCGACGCTCTCATTTATTAGAAGATTTGTGTTCGGCGAGTTTTGGCTAACAACGGCCGATATAAGAAAAGCACCTCTTAGCAACGTTGTCAACTGCATTAAATCTGTAGGCTGGCTCACGAGCTAGGAGGTGCCTATCATCTTAGGAGAATGCACAAAGGGGATAATGAGGCATTAGTGCCGTAGGGATAACCCACCCTCCACACGTCACAGATACAGTTACAGAACTACCGAAGGGAGGGGGTGCAAAAAGGTTAATTGGTGGTGCATACGAGTGCATCAGGAGTGCATACCGGTGCAATATATTTTTTTGTAAAAAAATCATTGTGGGGGCCAACTTCACGGTAAAGAAACAGGTATAACTACCTAAAGGGAGGTAGTACAAAAAGTTTAATTGGTAGTGCATATGAGTGCATGACAAGTACTATCTGGTGCATTACAGTAAATCTTAAATTTTTTACTGGAGGGGGCCAACGTTCAAACGTTCATTTGCAAAAAAGGGATGACTGTAGTTTCTCAAGAAAGGTGGTGCGAAAAAAATAATTAGTAGTGCATACTGGTGTATTACTAGTGCATTGTGGTGCAATAGTTTTTTTTTTTTTTTTTTTTTTAAATATCATTGAGAGGCCAACATCACGGACCTCAAGTAGATGTGTAAAGAAACAGGATGAAAATAGAGAAAATGAAGACCAATTTATATTTTAGTTTTTCTTTTGTATTATTTAAATTCTAAAACAATAACAGAAATTTACTTACATATGCCTTTTAGCTTCCAAAATTCTCTTAGACTTTGGATGAGACTCTTCAAATACATCTGGAAAACGAGATCTCATTGTGTAATACATGTCAATTTTAGGTTTAACTTTTTCAACGCTTCCTCTGCCGATCAAAAGAAATGACTGAATTTGATGATCGCCTGAAAAACAAATATATAAAGTTGATTTAAATGAGTTTACTTACTCACTTACTTAAAGTGTTTGGAAGGTGCGGTTGGGTTTTAATCCAGTTCTTGATTATTTCTATATCCTTTTTTACAGCGTCCCTACTTTTATCATGCTGTTTCCAAACCTCCACTTCTATTTTTTCATCGTATGGACTAAAATATGATTTACCAATCATCCTAGAAGAATTTTAATTTTAATAAGTTTTAAGCTATTGCATAGCTTTTATCGCAAACTTTGAGCGCGGCGACCGAATCAAGAAAAAAAACGAAACCCCACTCCGAACGGCACAGCGGTGCGGCGTTAAACAATATTGACTCATTTATTCAATAAAAGAAAATCGAAAAATCGAAAAATCAAAAAATCGAAAAATCGAAAAATCGAAAAATCGAAAAATCGAAAAATCGAAAAATCGAAAAATCGAAAAATCGAAAAATCGAAAAATCGAAAAATCGAAAAATCGAAAAATCGAAAAATCGAAAAATCGAAAAATCGAAAAATCGAAAAATCGAAAAATCGAAAAATCGAAAAATCGAAAAATCGAAAAATCGAAAAATCGAAAAATCGAAAAATCGAAAAATCGAAAAATCGAAAAATCGAAAAATCGAAAAATCGAAAATTCGAAAAATCGAAAAATCGAAAAATCGAAAAATCGAAAAATCGAAAAATCGAAAAATCGAAAAATCGAAAAATCGAAAAATCGAAAAATCGAAAAATCGAAAAATCGAAAAATCGAAAAATCGAAAAATCGAAAAATCGAAAAATCGAAAAATCGAAAAATCGAAAAATCGAAAAATCGAAAAATCGAAAAATCGAAAAATCGAAAAATCGAAAAATCGAAAAATCGAAAAATCGAAAAATCGAAAAATCGAAAAATCGAAAAATCGAAAAATCGAAAAATCGAAAAATCGAAAAATCGAAAAATCGAAAAATCGAAAAATCGAAAAATCGAAAAATCGAAAAATCGAAAAATCGAAAAATCGAAAAATCGAAAAATCGAAAAATCGAAAAATCGAAAAATCGAAAAATCGAAAAATCGAAAAATCGAAAAATCGAAAAATCAAAAAATCAAAAAATCGAAAAATCGAAAAATCGAAAAATCGAAAAATCAAAAAATCAAAAAATCGAAAAATCGAAAAATCGAAAAATCGAAAAATCGAAAAATCGAAAAATCGAAAAATCGAAAAATCGAAAAATCGAAAAATCGAAAAATCGAAAATTCGAAAAATCGAAAAATTGAAAAACGAAAAATCGAAAAATCGAAAAATCGAAAAATCGAAAAATCGAAAAATCGAAAAATCGAAAAATCGAAAAATCGAAAAATCGAAAAATCGAAAAATCGAAAAATCGAAAAATCGAAAAATCGAAAAATCGAAAAATCGAAAAATCGAAAAATCGAAAAATCGAAAAATCGAAAAATCGAAAAATCGAAAAATCGAAAAATCGAAAAATCGAAAAATCGAAAAATCGAAAAATCGAAAAATCAAAAAATCGAAAAATCGAAAAATCGAAAAATCAAAAAATCGAAAAATCGAAAAATCGAAAAATCGAAAAATCGAAAAATCGAAAAATCGAAAAATCGAAAAATCGAAAAATCGAAAAATCGAAAAATCGAAAAATCGAAAAATCGAAAAATCGAAAAATCGAAAAATCGAAAAATCGAAAAATCGAAAAATCGAAAAATCGAAAAATCGAAAAATCGAAAAATCGAAAAATCGAAAAATCGAAAAATCGAAAAATCGAAAAATCGAAAAATCGAAAAATCGAAAAATCGAAAAATCAAAAAATCGAAAAATCGAAAAATCGAAAAATCGAAAAATCGAAAAATCGAAAAATCGAAAAATCGAAAAATCGAAAAATCGAAAAATCGAAAAATCGAAAAATCGAAAAATCGAAAAATCGAAAAATCGAAAAATCGAAAAATCGAAAAATCGAAAAATCGAAAAATCGAAAAATCGAAAAATCGAAAAATCGAAAAATCGAAAAATCGAAAAATCGAAAAATCGAAAAATCGAAAAATCGAAAAATCGAAAAATCGAAAAATCGAAAAATCGAAAAATCGAAAAATCGAAAAGTCGAAAAATCGAAAAATCGAAAAATCGAAAAATCCAAAAATCGAAAAATCGAAAAATCGAAAAATCGAAAAATCGAAAAATCGAAAAATCGAAAAATCGAAAAATCGAAAAATCGAAAAATCGAAAAATCGAAAAATCGAAAAATCGAAAAATCGAAAAATCGAAAAATCGAAAAATCAAAAAATCGAAAAATCGAAAAATCGAAAAATCGAAAAATGGCTAACTGCTAACTGCTCATAACTGATTCTATCTCTTTTAGACACAATTTTGGAAAAATTGAATTTGAAAATGAATATTGATCCACAAGAATCCACAACAGAATATGGGACCACCATTACGATTATTTTATTTTATTATTAAAATATTGTATGACAATATATTGTTAAGTAACCCTATCAAAGTCTAAGACGGCACATAGTAGATTGTACAAACACTTATCCTGCAACACTTTGTTTTGTACACGCGACTTGGTCTTGTCAACAAGACTTTTTAAATTACGATTTACCTATAATACCGTTCTAGGTGTAGTACCTACGTCTGTGTATCAAAATGATGATTAGAAATGATTTTCAGCTGTACTTAAATTTTTTGATTACGTGCTGATTCATGAGAGGATTAAAATATTTTTTAAAAAGCACACTTTTATTATGTCCAAGTGAATCAAAAACATTAAAATACAGTCATATTTTATTTTTAAAATATTCTTCAAAAAATATACGTATATATAAAGTATACAATTATTTGATTTAAAATATATTAAAATTTTTGTTGTTAAATCCTATAAAAACTGCACACCACTGAGTTTTTGAGTCAATTTTAACAAGATTCAGTCTTACTTTTATTTAAAAGATTGTTGTATTATGAGATAAAAACGTTAATAAAGGGTGGGTTATTTATATTTAATAACCCTGTACAGCAGAGTATAATATTTAAAAACTAAAAATCACTTTTTTCACAGGTAATTAAATTAACAACAAACGAAAAAAAATATTTCATTAGAAATACACGGTTATTAAAACGTTTTAAGTAAAAAAATATAGATCTTACCTAACTTAGTAAATAACTAATCTAAAAAATTTTTTATCGAATTTTTATCAAAAACTACTTTTACAAGAATGATTTCATAATTATACGCGTTTAAAAAGAAACCTTCTGAAGCGTCATTATCACTATATACGAGGTCTTTATCAATGCTGGAAATGTTTTATTGCTTGTTACACTTATACAAGTACATTAATTACTAGAATTTGCAATATTTAGAACATTGTTATTGTTACTGGTTTTTGTAGTTAGTTTTTTTTTTTTGTAAGTACAAGGCTTAAACAAAAGATATTTAAATGAGTTGGTTGTGTTTTTATAGATTTTTTTTAAACTTCTACGTTACTTTAATCATTAAGTTACCGACCTCGTATATTGGGATCTGAAAATAAGCAATACGCCCTCTACTATGAACTTATGAACTGAAGACCGTAACCATTTGACGTTCTGTCAAAGTTATTTTATTGTTTTTCAGGTCATGTCAATAAATGTTATTTTAAAATTTAACAAATATTTTGTTTGAAATGTCTTATTTAATAATAAGCTAATAATTTAAATTTTCATCATATTATTTATTAATAGTATATTATTAAACGAGCAATAATGGCCATAAATTACGAGTCTAATACTATACTTTGTCCACGATCATTATGGTTTCTTTATTAAATAAAAGTTAAGTGTAGAGGATAGTTTTTATTAAACATAGGTAACTATTTTTCGAGTATTCGATTTTTTTTAATTTTTTTTTCGATTTTTGTTCGATTTTTCGATTTTTCTATTTTTAGATTTTTAGATTTTTTTCGATTTTTCAATTTTTTTTTCGATTTTTCGATTACCTATAAAGAATATTTTCATATCAGTTTGGACATACGTGCTGTCGTGACGTCATACCGTGACTAATGGATCATTATTCACTAGTGAATAATAGGTTTTATTATTCTTAAGGAAGTACAAGTATAATGAATGTTTTATAGAACAGTCGTGGACAAAATATATTATATACTCCTATTAATTTATATATTAATTATTCTACTGCTTTTGAGCAATTAATAGTATCAATAAACAAATAGCCTGAGTTTTAATAGTGAAATATTATAACTGATGCTGGGCTCCTACTATAATTCGGTATGTACAGTTCTCGCCATTTACTTAGATGTACCAAATCGAATCTAGTGTAATGATAACTCCGCCCAAGCGACAACCATTGGTCAAACAAATAAGGTTCCATTGGCAGTGGCGTCGTACATTTATTTATTAGAATTAAAACTTGAAGGTAAAATTTAAAAGAACGGAAATCCATTAGGAACCGTTAAATACAGATTAAGTCAATCGGTTAAAAATAAGTAACTGGTAATTAAGAAACTTAATGGAATTTTTTCTTTTGTCATTTCTAATGCCCCAAGATAATGTAGTCTTAGGTCTCTTTTTCTAATCGAATTGACTTAAACCTTTTAATGTACTTTTAATTAACAATCACTTATAGAAGGTTTATCGATTTCTAATTTCAGGAATATGAAGGTACGAAAAAATATTAGGATAGAGACTAAGATTTAAGAAAGTGCTTTTTTACATCCGGTATTACTTTCATTCAATTTGTTCATTGTCGTTAAATAAAACACTGTAATACATGAAATTTGGTGGTTTTAATAAAAAAAAGGCAGAACACAAGAAACAAACAATGACGGTTATGAAAGAAACTTTACAAATTTGAGTTAAATAATAAGAATAGGTATATTAAAAAATAAATATTAAACTAATTGTCATCTTCAGATTCAGAATCGTCCTCACTGCTACTGCTCGAACCAGTTTCATCTAAAGAATTTATGACTGGGTTTATTTCAAATAACATATCTGTTTGAACTTCCCTGTCAAAATATTCATTTTCTATTTTGACGACATGGTCACATCTTTTCTTCCATTCATTGGCATCAATGTTTTTGAATTCTTCCTCAGCTATTGTTTTAACGTCATTTAATTGAAATGTAACATTTCTCCGGCTAATGTTATGTTTGACGGTGGCCCATATAAGTCCGATAGGGTTCAAGTCTGGGTGATAGGGAGGTAAACGTAAAAGAGTGTGTCCATGTTGAGAAAATATGTCATCAAAAAGATAAGTCACATACCGATCTTTATTCCACTTAATTAATTGATATAATTCTGGCTTAAGGCTTGACGGATTAAAAGGGATATTTTTCTCTGTCAACCACTGTATCATTTCATTTTTTAGTGAATTGGAGTTAGGAGCACGGTTAGCTTGTACATTGTGATACGAAGCATTGTCACATACAACAACGGAATTTGCTGGTAAATTTGGTATCAGTTTCTCTTCTACCTATTTTCTGTAATTTTGCCCATTCATCTCGTCGTGGTAATCTCCAGACTTGCTCCCTAACTTAAACATTAACAAACTATCTTTTATAAACCCCATTTTACCACCTGCATAAACTATTATCAACCGATTACCTTTAGAGATAGTAGTAAACAGTCCCTTTGTAGTGTTATCAGTCCAAGACTTTGAAGATGTATGTCCACTGTGGACGTAAGTTTCATCTACAAATATAATTGGTCTATTTTGACTTCGAAAATTTTTGATTTGTCGAAGATACTTCACTCTTAAACTTCTAATTTCCATTTTCTCAACTAAAAGTTTTCTATTATTTTCCGTTTTTCTCCAACGAAAACTCAATTTTTTTAAGAATTCTTCATAAAGACGTATCCGATACAGAAATATCTAAATCTTTTTTGATTTTCTCATTAAGTTTTCTTACATTGACTCGACAATTTTCTGTCTTATGAAAATCATAAATTATTCGCCGAATGTCTCTACTTTGATATTCTGGAAGATCTGTAACTGTTGATATCCTAACACGTTTTTTCTTAGGACTCAGATTGGGTGTTCGCCCGAGCGCACTTAACCAACTGTTGTCTTACGTGAAATAATAGATATTGCTGTCTCGCTTGTCTAGTACATCTAAGTAAACGGCGAGAACTGTATATAGTGTGCGCAGTAAATACTTGGAAATTTTAAAGCCGATAAATACGTTCTATTGGCTAAACTGTTAGAAATATTTTTTAACAACTGGAAAGGAATGAATATTTAAAAGATTTGAAAATTATTAAATTATCAACGGCTTTCAGTAAGTGACAAAGTCAATTATTTTCATTGAGGGGAGTAATGTCATTTAAAATTTTAACAAGATAATTTTGAAGTTTTCAAATCAATTTCAAATAATAATATTAAAAAAAAATTAATTTAGATAGTGAAGATGAGTTATTATGTACACCTCCAGAAATAAGAGAAATAGCTTATTAAGAAATACAGATTTTATTACCAGTTAAAAACAAGTAAAAAGGTGAATACAAAAATTTTCAAAATTGGTGTAGCAATAAGAACGTTAAATCGTTTACAAAAAATGTACTTTTAGTATTTATTGTTATAGTCTTAGATAAAGTATAGTATTCAACTTGCGGTAATGTTCGTAACTCACTTGATGCAGACTTCATCTACGTGAGTTAGGAGCTGCATTACCGCTTGTTAAATAATATACTTATATTATTTGGAATATAAGTGTAATACCTGTTTCTTCCTAAAGCTGGTAAATGTAGAGTAATTTTTATAAAATGCAAGTGGAAATTTTAAAATTGTGGATGCAAGAAATTCATGGTTACAAAAGTTGAAAATTGAGAAGCCAGTACGAAAGTATTTAAAAGTTTGTTCCCACCATTTTAAAGAAATTGATGATTTGCCTAGAGGTAATAGAAATGTTTTTCGATCGAATGTTTCTATTTTACTTTTTTTTGTGTTGCAGTTGCATCATCTCGAGTGAAAATAAATATTAAAAAAAATTCACTGTGCCTCCCTATCAGGTTTCAAACAAATATCTGACGTTCTGTTCGATTAACTTGAAAATCAAATATTGAGAGAACAGAAATAAAAATAAAGTAGATCCAAACTAAAGAAAGTTTAATCAGTGTTAAATGTAATAGTAAGAACAAAGAAGTTATAGTCGAGAGTGATTTGTTTCAAGTTATCCTAGCTCACACCGAACAAGTCATAAAGGTTGCAAATACTCTTTTTCTACTACCGTGCGTAAAGTACGTACCTACTTTACGCATTCCACGAAGTGTGTAAAGTTGTACTTTTTTTCACTAGTGCGTAAAGTAAAACTCTTTACGCACTAGTTAATGAAAGTAAAATTTGATAAAATTTGTACATAACAACAAAATATAACGTTTTATTTTATATTAATATTTTTTTGCTATCTCCTTCTAAGACAAATAAATAAATTATTTTTGCTTATATCTATTTAGTGTCCAACAAATTATCAACAGTTTATTTTAATTATAATTTTCTCTAAATGTCATCGATTTAATTAAAAGTAAACATACAGTGGATGTCGATTTTGGTAAAAGTAAGTTGGCCGTGGCTGTGTGGATTAGAAGAACTGTCAATCTCTAAACTTTTAATTAGTACCTACCTTATAACAGAACACGACAAAGGTATACTTAAGTTCAAGATTAGATTCTAAAGCCAATTTAGCATTTTTTTAAACTCAATCAAGTTTGAGAAGGTAAAAAGTTTTACTTTTTAATGTTTGTTTACTTAAATTCAAATTTTATTTGCAGTTTATTATATCTGTCATAATTGATACGGATTCAAATTTATCTAGCGATAGCGAATTTGATAATACTCCCCCAGATATCTTATGCAGTGCACAAAAGGCCACTGAAAATTTATTGCCAGAAAAATCTGCATATATTTATCAGCAAAAATACAATGCATTTATAGAATGGTGTAGGAAGAATAAGATGACAAAATATTCGGAAAACGTTATTTTAGCATATTTCTCTGATTAATTGAAGAATTGCAAAGCTTCTACCCCTTGGGTCGATTTATTCTATGCTTAAAAGCACCCTAAAATATAAATACAACGTTGATATTTCGAAATTCAACAAGTTAATAGCGTTTCTCAAACAAAAAAATAAAGGTTATAAACCAAAAAAATCCAAAATTTTTAAACGAGAAGATCTAATTAATTTTCTGTTGAAAAGCTCCAGATTCCAAGTTTTTAATGATCAAAGTAAGTAAATGCCTCAGTAAATGCTTGAATGCTCAGTATAAAATTAAAATATTCTGTAAAGTTTTGCAACGAGATGTCTGTTCGTATGGTGT